TGCATAAATGGATACAATGCATAATGAAGTAAGTCAATAAGATCTCTCGGAATGTCATGATACCCATGAACAGACGATATGAAAGTAGGACATATGGGGTATCCAGAACATAGGCAACCCTAGTACTTCTAAGAATAAAATCATTTATGAACGTTGTGTGCTTGCTCGTTTCGTTTGTATCATATGGATCATGCCAAAAGGAAAGAAGGGATATCCTTAACATACCTCAAGTCATCAATGCAACTCAACAACAAGCTTATGACAACTAGCGCGCCAACCCTATAACAAAGAAATACGTGTACAACTTAGATGGCGGTGGTATATCACGTATCTCAAATGATAATTCGATTCTAAAATAAAACGGGTTGTATTTCCCCTGATTTTGCTACTCCCTCAAGCCTACTATAGGCTAGATACAAACACAATACAATCAGCAACTCAAAAATAACCCAACTACAATTTGGGACCTTCAATACAACAAAACTCCCAAATATACCATAACACACCCAATCAATAAGTTATCAATTAACCTGAAATTGCAACGACGAGCAACCAGCCTACTATCCTACCACATGTGATATTTTTCCACGCCCTTCATCATTCCAAACTCCATAAATAATCAGCACAATAGGCCAACACGAGTGGACTACAAAATAGTCCACTAAAAGTGAAATAAATCGAACTCACGGCTTCCGATCACCGTCCCGTGAGTTCTAAATATTAGGAAATGAATTTATCAACCTTCCTTGATATTTAAAAGCATAAATATAGAAAGTAGGAATTTTCTTAACTATTAAATACATTCCAAAACTCAAACTACAAAGAAAAAGAGAAACGATATAGCGATACTTACGTCGTAGGGATCGTTTTAATGTTATCGCTTCTCGATTTCGTGCCCGGGATAATAATCTTATTTGAAGCCCTTGTAGAGAGCTTAAGGGTAAGGTTAGGGGTGTTACTTGTTCGTGATCTCTATAAAATGGAGAAAGAGACGAGATAAGGGATGTAAATATCCCGTTTTGTTTAAAGTCAAAAAGGTGCTACTTGGCACCCTCGCATAGGCCCTTCTTCAGACGCTTACATTCTTTAATCTGGATGTCGGTTAAGAGCGTTGGAAACTAAATTCCAAGACCTTCAAATTTTTATATAATATGTCCCAGAAAGACCCCATATAGAACTCGAAATGTATTGCTCAAAAAGCTTTGTTACAAGGCAAATCCTTAGTCGGTTTTTCCGCAACTTTAATCCGATTTTTTCCAAACTTTATATTTTCTATCCAAACATCATATATATCCATATTATGACTTTAAACTCATTTAAATTATGATTAACAAGTATCATATTCATTACTTCACCTTGGGACGCACATGTGTAACAAGAGGTAACTCTCTCAAATCTGAAAAGTTTTGGTTGTGTTGCTTATGTGCATGTAAACTCTAATGATAGAGATAAGCTTGATCCTAAAGCCAGAAAATATTTCTTTATTGGCTATGGTGATGATAATTTTGGTTATCGATTTAGGGATGATCAAAATAGAAAGATCCTAAGACACATGAATGTCACATTTAATGAAAATGTGATGTACAAAGACAAGTTTGAAGTAGAACCAACCAGCACCAGCAGACAGACATCTGAAACAGTTGAGTTAGAAGAAATCTCAGAAAATGAAGTGGCTAGAAAGACTACAACTGGATCTGAAATTGAAGATGCCGAACCAAAATCCGAATCTAGATCAGAATCAGAACCAGAACCAGAGATAGAATCAGATGGAGAACCAGATCTGGAGTCAGGACTTGAATCAAATTCGGGATCAGTTAATCCTGAACCTACATTAAGGAGATCTAAAAGATTCATAAATGCTCCAGATAGGTTAACTCTCTCTCTCTCCACTATTTACTTCTAACTGATGCTGGAGAGCTAGAGCATTTTGTTGAAGCAATGCAAGTGATAAGATCTGATAAGTGGAAGTTAGCCATGAAAGAAGAGATGAATTCTCTTCAAAAGAATAAAACATGGATACTTACAGAGTTACCAAAAGGAAAGAAGGCATTGCAAAACAAGTGGGTGTACAGGGTCAAGGAAGAGCATGATGGTAAGAAGAGATACAAAGCACGATTAGTAGTAAAAGGCTTTCAGCAGAAGGAAGAGATTGACTAAACCGAGATCTTCTTTCATGTAGTCAAATTAACTACTATCAGGTTGGTGCTAAGTATCGTAGCTGCAAAAAAATTGCATTTGGAGTAGCTAGATGTTAAAACTGCTTTCTTGCATAGTGACCTTGAAGAAGACATCTAAATGAAGCAACCTAAAGGTTTTCAAGTTTCTAGTAAGAAAAACCTTATGTGTAAGTTGAAGAAGAGTTTGTATGGTTTGAAACAAGCAACCCGACAATGGTACAAGAAATTTGATGGATTCATGCATAATAATGGTTTCACACGATGTGAGATGAACCATTGTTGTTATATCAAAAATCTTGATAAATCCTATATCATTTTACTGTTGTACGTTGATGATATGCTAATTGCAAGATCTAGCATAAATGAGATCAACAGGGTTAAGCAACAACTGGCGAAGGAGTTTGAAATGAAAGACTTAGGACCAGCTAAGCAAATGCCTGGGATGGGGATTAGCAGAAACATGTCTGAAGGAACATTAAAATTGTCTCAAGAAAAGTACATACAGAAGGTACTAAGCAGGTTCAGTCTTCATGATGCAAAGACCAGAAGCACTCCACTCGGAAGCCATCTTAATTTGTCGAAGGATCAATCACCTAGATTAAGGATGGAAGTACATATCCAAAGTTCCATATGCTTCAGCAGTAGGAAGTTTGATGTATATTATGGTTTGCACTACACCTGACATAGCCCATGCAGTTGGAGTTGTCAGTAGATACATGTCAGATCCAGGAAAGGAGCATTGGGAAGGTGTAAAATAGATATTGCGATATCTCAAAGGCACCTCAGGTATGACACTTTGTTTTAAAAGCAACAATATTATCTTACAAGGTTTTGCTGATGCAAATTTAGGCAGCGATCTCGATAGTCGAAAAAGCACTACCGGCTACATGTTCACCTTGGGTGGTACTGCTGTTAGCTGGATGTCCAGACTTTAGAAAAGTGTTGCTCTATCTACCACTGAAGTAGAGTACATGGCAACCTCAGAAGCTGAAAAATAGATGATTTGGCTCAAGAATTTTCTTAAAGAGCTAGGTAAAGAGCAGGACAATTGTGAGCTTTTCAGTGATAGCCAGAGTGCAATTCATCTTGCCAAGAATCTAGTGTTTCATGCAAGATCGAAGCATATCCAGTTGAGGTATCATCATATCCGAGAGTTGATAAGTGAAGAAACTCTTTTCCTGCAAAAGATACCAGGATCAAAGAACCTGTCAGACATGTTGACCAAAGTTGTCGGTGTGGACAAACTGAGGATGTACACTGCCTCAGTTAGCCTTCAAGACTGATAGCGTGAAGGCGCCACCAGAGAATAGAAAATCTTTTTTTAATTTCTTTCTTGATGTAACATAGGTTTGAGGGGGGATTGATAGTAGCAAACTTGTTGTTGTATGTGAAAGAAAGAAAAGTAGACAAAAAAAAAAGTAAAAAAGAGATGAACTTATGATGTAAGCGCTTATATCGACATTTGTATGATGTAAGCGCTTACATCGGCATTCCTATGATGTAAGCGCTTACGCCGGCAGGGCATTCAAATGCCTATAAAAGGGGTTTGCATTTTTTATTTACATATCATCGCTCAACTTCTTCTTTCCCTCTTCAATTAATAAAGAGTTATTCTTTGTGTGGCCGTGGAGTAGGCAAAAATTGCCGTAAATCTTCTCGTCTTGTGCAATTTATTATTTTTCTCTTTCAAATATTTTTTTCCTTCTATTAGCCTTGCACGTTTCCCAACAAGAGACAGATACAAACAAGAAGATACCTCAGAATGTGCTGTGTTTAGAAAGATTCAAGACAGGAGAAAACTGCAGGTTGCTGACAAATTGCAACCACAGTTTCCATGTCAAATGCATTGATTCATGGTTGATACAGACACCTTATTGTCCAATCTGTCGAACATTGCCATGAAACAGTCCTGCTAAGATTGGTTGCTTGTTCTTGGAAGCAAGATTGAGGAACCTCTTCACATTCTCAAAAAAAAAAATCATAAGCTAATGAAAATTGGATCTTTGGCGAACGAAAAGACTGCTTTTTCGAAAGTGTATCCTTTACCTCATGAAAGTTGCCTTAGGGAAAAGAGTACACTTGTTTAAGCCACCTCGGATAAGATAAAGGCCACATTTTTTGATAGTTTTTCAAGTGTGGTTAAAGGTCTAATATGTTGTAGTGTAGTAAAAATTTCAGGCCAACCAATCTCATTTGCTGCTCCTTGGCAACCTTCTATTCAGAAATGCACACTCATTTTTAACATTTCTAGCTTTCTTTTGCATTGACTTAGATCAAGCTCGTTAGATATATATAACTAGCGGATCTTGGTTAATGGGAATAAAAGTCGTTCTACCTACACCTTCACAAACTCTCTATTGTGTATTTTTAGGCAGTAGACATGCTTTCACTCTTGAAACAACAGTAAGAGTAGCTGTCGTCTGACCATATGAGGTCAGGGTTCAAGCTAAGAAACAACCTCTTGCATGAATGCAAGGTACGGCTGTGCACAATAGCCCCAATATGGTCCGTTCTGCCCTAGATCCAGACATTAACATGAGCTTAGTGTACCGGACTGTCTTTTAGACATGCTTTCACCTTCTTCCGGTACTTTCCCCGATCACCACTTTCTCACAAAAGTAATCTTCAAGTATTGGAGAAGAACAGGAATCCAGTTGATAAAATAATCAGCTTTGGTAGGGAGTCTGTGGATAGTGGAAGTTCATATGTGTAATTCCTAGGCGCTTTATGAAGGTTTGTAATTGTATACCTGGGTTGTAAAGCCAATAGTTAGATCAGCTACAAGGACTTGATGAGTTTTCAACCTTGTTAGGGCCTCCAAAATGAACTCAGAGAATGGCGAAAACAATTCTTTTTGATAGTTATACTAATAGGAGAAACAGATAACTATGGTTCAACATGAATATTCATGATTTATCAGCTACTTCAAGACTACTCCTTGGTTGAGTAGGGCTGATACATCTCCAAAAGAAACCTAAACAACTACCCATTAAATTCATTACAATAGCTGAAGTTGCAGCAGGTAGTGCAACTGCCGGTGAAGAAAAATGGGAGGTTGCTAAAACCACAGCCAAGGCGGAATTTTGCATGCCCACCTGCAAGAAAAGTACAGAAAGTTGAACATCATTGGCTGCATTTATTATTGAGAAGGGATAGAGAGGGAGAAGCTCCTTTTCTGATTAAGGCTCAATTTGGCTGCGACTGACCATTAGTTGAAGATGACTTAAGTTTCACAAGATTTGAAATAATTATCTAACTTTCCCGAATTCAGTTGAATTTGTACAAGGTTGTAGCAAGGGAAATAGTATAATGAGGCGATCTTCCTATCCGTTGAGTAAAATGTTTTTGCAACAAAAGGAATATCTGAACACAAGTAATTAGAACTAATGAAAGCGGGAAACATATCCGAGAATATAGTCATCCTCCCGAAGGAGCTGAAGGTCAGTAGGTTCTCTTCTCCTCCCCCATTTAATAGGTAAATTCGTGTCATCCATGAGAAATATGGGTCATTCAGAAGTGATAAAAAACAGACACTGATTAGAAAATGTCTTGGGCTACTAAGAACAAAATAGAAACTTGTTACCAACGTGATCTTTCCATGCTTGGCTAGAATTTACCCAAGCAGTAAGCCTACGTGTCTTAAGCCAATCAGGAACGTACCTCAATGGATACAGCCCGTCTTTGAGGTTCACCAAAACCAGCCAAAGCAGCAGACAGATACCTGATGAAGATCTCATCAGATGACATATTGCATGGATGCTAAATCAGGACAATAGAGTGTAACAACGAAATAAGGATAATCTTACCCAACAAAGAAACCAGCAAAATGAAGCAATGCTACAGAGACCACAACAAGCCCAAATTCACTAGTTAGCACATTCTGAGCACGATTGAGCAGAGGCAAATTGGAAGAGAATGATATGCCAACCACAGAAGATCTCAGACGCCCAACATTTTCGGAGAATATACTGAGCAAAAAAGGAAACAAAAAATAAAATGAGAAAGGAATGAAGCAGGAAAGGACAGTTAAGTGAACAATCACCACAGAGGAAATGATTCAGAATCAACAACTAAACCTGGAAGCAACAAGAGAAGTAGCTAAGACTGCTAGAAGGGGAGCAAAAGGTGTAAAAAGTTTCACCGCCTTCGGAAATTTGTGCTGCATATAAGAACCTACAAGAAGTGGAGCAACCACAACCTAAAAATGAAGCAATACAAGAAAAAATAAATTATTAAAATCAGGGAACATAAACTCCATATAGGTAATTTGATGAATCAAAAGTATCAATATATTTACAGAACAAAGTGAAGTGACATAACCTGAAGCGTGCTGATGGAAAGCTTAAGAGCATCCACAGGAACATAAGTTCCTGCTAGAATCTTCGTCAAGGAGGGAGTGAGAAGCACTGCACCAATTGTGGTGCATGCTGTCATCACAATTGATAAAGGAACATCTCCTTGTGCAATTAAGGTTACCTGTAACACAATTGGGAAGCAAAAAGGAAAGTTTGTAGTGAGCTTTATGGTCTAAGCCAATATATATTCATGATATCAATTAGTTAATATCATACTACAAGAGCGTGCATTCAATAAAAAGCAAAGTTCTCCCCCGATGCCTAAAAAATGAGTTTGTTAAACGCTTATGTTCCAATCAGAAGAAAGAAAGTGGCAGACAGGAAACATCGTAACAGAAGTGGACTTCTTGTCACAAGGAAAGGATACAGAGAACTAACCAATTTTGCATGCTTGCTAAATGTGTGGTGTGAGAATTGACACCTTTTCGTAAAGCATGATAATGTGATTTTAAGGGATTGTTTTCAACATATATAGACGACTATTTGCTCCTCATGATACCATACCTCGTGACATGTCACTCTAAAATGTATAAAGAAAGACAACAATATCTTCAACTCTCATGGTAGTTACCCCTTCTTTGCTCCAGGCTTCCTTCTTAGTGCTAAAACAGAATTCACACTAACCGAGCATCAAGAATTCAAAATAAAATTTTGATTTTCTAAAATAAAGTGGAGAGATGCAACGTCCAATCATAGAGTATAATCAACAAGGCAACTGAAAATAGTATTAGTAGCTAACATCAGCACTACATCACTGAACTATATGCGGGTGCAGTATAAAAGATAATTCGTCACTGCATATAGTAGCGCAGCAGGTTGTAAGTCAAGATAAGCACATCGATGCACATAATAAATCAACTTTGGCCATCAAGAACCATTTTTCAATTACAATTATGCACAGCAGTGAACTATCCAGGGAGTCGGGAGATGGGGAGATCGACGGAGATGTTACGCACCGTATTGGGGTGGGGTGGATGAAATGGAGGTTCGCGACTGGAGTCCTGTGTGACAAGAATGTGCCACCGAAACTTAAAGTTAAGTTCTATAGAGCGGTGGTTAGACCGGCCATGTTGTATGGGGCTGAGTGTTGGCCAGTCAAGAATTCACATATCCAGAAGATGAAAGTAGCAGAAATAAGGATGTTGAGCGGGCACACTAGGCTGGATAAGATTAGGAATGAAGATATTCGGGAGAGGGTGGGAGTGGCTCCGATGGACGACAAGATGCGGAAAGCGAGGCTTAGTTGGTTCGGGCACGTGCGGAGGAGAAGCCTAAATGCCCCGGTTAGGAGGTGTAAGCGGTTGGCTTTGGCAGGTACGAGAAGAGGTAGAGGGCAGCCTAAGAAGTATTGGCGCGAGGTGATCAGGCAGGACATGGCGCGACTCCAGATTTCCGAGGACATGGCTGTTGATAGGAAGGTGTGGAGGTCGAGCATTAGGTTGTAGGTTAAGGGATAGTCGAGCATTTTTCCTCTTTGTACCGGCTAGTCCGATAGTGTTTTGTCTAGGACTGCTAGCGGTTTATTTTGTGTTTCACACTTTTGCATAGTATTTGTGTTATTGCTCTTCCATTTATTTGTTGTCTCTCACGTTGCTGATACGATTTCTCTAGTTTCTGTTGTTGTTTTGGATCTATTGTCTCTGAACCGAGGGTCTCCCGGAAACAGCCTCTCTACCCCTATGGGTAAGGTCTACATACGCTCTACCCTCCCCAGACCCCACTGGTGGGATTCTACTGGGTTGTTGGTGGTGGTGGTGGTGGTCTAGATCCAATTATTGGGTAACATAAGCTATAAAACTAGAAACTCATGTAAGAAGTTTGAGACAAAGGAAAAGAAGGAAAATGGTCAACTTTAAAAGATTTCCTTTTCCAAATGAAGATGCTGCTGGTACAAGGCAGCCTTAATGAGTGATAAATTGGAGCATTTCAGAAAAAGTTCATCACCATCCGATCAGATTAGCCAACCTGAAGGTAAATAAAGTCAAGGAAGGTAGACAAGTATCAGAGAAATATATTCTATTTTTGAAGTTATTGACGACTTCTCGTGGTTGTAGCTCTCAGCTCACTGGATTCTTCCCTGATTTATCAAACCTTATTGGATTTCTTGTGATACAGTTTTAAACTGCACATAACAATTTGAAATGAAATCTACCTTTAGCTCTAATTCTCAATGTCAATTCTTAATTGTATATTCATACAATGCAATGGATTAGGAGGTGAGTTCCCTTAATTATTAATAAGGGAAATAGTTCTCAAGTCTCAACAGAACAAGTCGGCCAAAATTTATCAAAAGCAGAACAATGAAATGATTTTGAAATCTAAAAATGAAGACCGTAAATGACATATAACTTGGGACCACAAAAACACCAAAAGATGCAACTTAAAACTCAGTGGAGAAAACCATAAAGAATAGCAAACATACTGTGGATTCACATCATTACTGAAACGTTGCATATATGCAACGACTGGACATCTACAACCTAAACATGTTCATTCGGAAGTTAAGCTTGACTTGTTAGATCCATTAAGGAGAAAATTACAGAAGAAAGTCACCTTACCACGTTGGACGCTGTACCTCCAGGGCTACAAGCAAGCAATATTAGACCAACTGAAATTGAAGGAGAGAGACCCAAAATTTTGCTGAGAATCATTCCCAAGGCTGGCATAATTGTATATTGAGCAGCACAACCAAATAGAATCTAGAAATATGAGGAAAAACCAAAGAGTTTCAGCCTATAGAAATTTCCCTATATGCAAAGATATAGTCTGATTAAAGTTTAAGAAACAAAATTAAAGTACTTGTTCTCTTCATTAAATCAAGAAATCACCAGGCACCATGTCCTTAAACCAAATGATGGACCAAGCGGAAATGTCTAAAGTTCTTTCTTTGAAAGCTTAATTTGAATGTTCTAAGGTGTGAATGCCACATATTTGTAGTCCAAATATCAGACCAAGTGGATATGTCTATATTTCTTTGTTTGAAAACTTAAATTAAATGTTACAAAGTGCGAGTACCACGTAATTGTAGTCATACATTCCAAGTTGGTACTATCACATTGCCAACTATTATTCACTCGAAAACATGTTAACATGAGAGTTGTTCCAAATAGGGGGAAAACGGAAAGTTATATTAGTAGTGATTAACTCACATGTGACCCATCCTATTAATTGAATTTTAATGAAGTGGCTCCTGAGCCAAGGGTCTATCCGCGTACACACTATCCTTCCCAGGCCCCATGCCCCATTTGTGGTAAAAACTCTTTTGAAAAAATTAGAGAACAAAACGAATCTGTGAGTAATTAGCACAAATTATGACCTGCCCCGTGATAGCATTCATAAAGAAGATAACAAAATTTTCTGAATTAGATTAAATTATACTTGTAGCTCATAAACAACAACACAGCGCCTCATTCCTAAGTAAGTTGGATTCGTCTATCCTCTCTATCCATGCCATTCCATTTAAGCCCGTCTCAGTCCAATACTATGAAAATTTCAGTTTCTCCAGCGCTAGAAGTTCTCTACATTTTCTATCGGCATATAGAAAATCTCTAACAAGCGTAAAAGACTTCTAGCAAATATCGGACCTAAAGTAAACCCACTTATAACTCATTAAGGAAAATCCACGACAAGCAAAATGTGGCATCTAACAAAAAGTGTTTCACAGGGTGAGGCTTCAATCAAGATTGTAAGAATTCGTAAAATTCACTAGGACATTTATATCAAGAACCAAAAGAAAGCAAAAACGAGTCACACTCTACAACTAATTAAAGAAGTGGGTAATAAAATTCACAAGTGAGTAAATGGAGTGAAACACTAAAACAAGAGTGTACTCACAGAAAGAGGCCTTTGCAACAACAAGTTGATTAACTCTTTGACCTCCAATGTAAGACCCATTGCAAGCATAATAAACCAAAGAGCCAAACTATATGAAGTAGGGCCAGAATTCACAAACCATGAAAAAGTTGATGGCTTTAAGCAGGCAACAATCCCACCAACCGTTACATAGACAGGGAAAAGGTTGGCTGCAGTTAACAACCAATTTTCCCATCTGGGTTTTGCTGAAATCACAGCAAGATTCTGAGAATTTTCAGGAACACATTTAATTATTGTCTTAAGATTTGGGCTTAGAATCTTTGGACTTGTTAGAGTAATGGGGTTGATGGGTTTATAAAGGGGGATTCTTGGATGGTGTTTTGGGTTGGAAGTGAGTGGAGTGAAGCAAAGAGATATCGCCATAGCTGTGAATTGAAAACACTTCTGACGTAAGAAAAGTTCCGAGCTTTATTGAATTTGGAAGTTGATGTTAGATTATTGTGATATTGATACTATTAGTAACTTGATCAGGCATATACCTGAGAACTTTCGATGTCGCTGTACTTATTCCACTTATGAGAATAGTTTGACTAGTTATACTTTGGCTAAGCTTATATAAGTTGTACTAATTGATTGTCAATGCTCCATTTATGGAAATAAATTAATTCTGCTCTATTTTTTTATTTCTTTCATATTCAACGTTATTCTTCTGGAAATAAATTTATGTACATTAAAAATTTTGTAATTAATTATATGATGAATTTATAAAAGAGTTGGAATTTGATTCTTTAACCAATAAGTTGATTCAAACACTTATTTTGTTAAATTAGTTCAAAACTTAATCATTTATTCTCAACATTAGAGGAAATAATTTTTCTTGATTCAAATTCTTAGTGTTAGTTCATTCCTAGTTTTTAATGTTTAACTATAACAATATTTTCATCAAATAAATATTCTAAGTTCAAAGGACAAAAGAATGATATGATATTTCATTTAGAAAATTTTAATTAATTTTAAAGTTCTAAATATTATAAAGATTATTAAATTATAAATTTTTATCAATATAAAATTTATTTTCAACAGATAAAGATTGACCAACATGGCATTATTATAAATTCTAAAATTTAATTTTTTACCACTTTATTAGAGTGTAAAAATATAAATCCCTCGATATGTCTAAGTAAAATGTCAAACTTAAAATTGTTAGTACTTTGTAATAATTAGGATTCATATTAGATGCCTACAAATATGTATATTATTCTATTTAATTTTATGAGTATAAAATTTTAATAAATTATATTAATATTGTAATGACCCGGCTGGTCGTTTTTAGAATGTAAGTTCCGTCCGGCGGCATAAGGCCCTGAGCAGCTTCGTATTATATGTATGGACTTACGTGCGTGGTTGAATTTAGTTACCGGATGATTCGGAGTGATTTGGGACACTTGGTCCCTAAAATGGAAGTTTAAGTCTTAAGATTTTGACCGTAGTCGGAACTGTGTGAAGACGACTCCGGAATGGAGTTACGTCGGTTCTGTTAGCACCGTTGGGTGATTTTGGACTTAGGAGCGTGTCCAGACTGTGAATCTGAGGTCTGTAGCTGATTTAGGCTTGAAATGACGAAAGTCAAATTTTTAGAGATTTGGACCCGAAGTGGAATTTTTGATATCGGGGTCGGAATGCGATTCCGAGAGTTGGAACAACTCCGTTATGTTATTTGAGACTTGCCTGCAAAATTTGACGATATTCCAGGTTGATTTGATAGGTTTCGGCACGTGTTTTAGAAATTGGAAGATTTAAAAGTTTATAAGTTCGATTCATGGTGTGATTCGTAGTTTCGCCGTTGTTTGATGTGATTTGAGACCTCGAGCGAATCCGTGTTAGGTTATGGAACTTGTTTGTGTGTTTAGACGGGGTCTCGAGGGCCTCAGGTGTGTTTCGGATGGGCCACGGGTCATTTCCTCCTATTTTGAACTGTTGTTTTCTGTCATCTGATGTTCTTCTTCGCGATCGCAAAGTGCCTTTTGCATTCGCGTAGTGTTCTGCTGGCCCGCCAAATATTTCTTCCTAGGCATTCACGTTCAAGCTCTCGCGTTCGCGAAGGTTTGCCTTTTTCCTTCTTCGCGTTCGCATCCTTCCTTCCGCGTAGTAGGAACTAGGTCCCGAGCGCTGGTGATCATTTACTCTTCGCGTTCGCGTGTCCTCTTTGCATTCGCATAGGTTCCTGTCCTTTCTGCTTCGCGTTCGCGACCCTTTTCTTGCGTTCGCGAAGGGTCTTCTGGCAGCCTTCACTTTTCTTCTTCGCGAACGCGAAACTTTCTCCGCGTTCGCGATGCTTAAAGACCTAGGCAGACTTATATCGTTTCCAAAAAATGGGGATGTTGCCATTTTATCAAAAACTTGAGTTGGAAGCTCGGGTTTGGATGAGATTTTGAGGGAGTTTCAGAGATATCGATTGGGTAATAATTCTATACTCCATTTTGGTTATATTCCACTAATCTATCATTAATTTCCTCTTTAATTTCAGATTTTTGGGGTTAAAATTGGGAAAAATTGGAAGAACTTCTTTAATAAAGATTTCGAGTTTTGAAAAAGGATTTGTGGTCGGATTTGAGTAATTCTTATATGGTTAGACTCGTGAGTGAATGGGTGTTCGTATTTTGTGATTTTTACCCGAATCTGAGACGTGGGCCCGAGTCGACTTTTTTAGGGCGGATTTCGAAATTTTTATTAAAGTATTGATTTTATTAATTAGACGAGTCTATTATGGTTTTATTCATGATATGCAATTGTGTTTGGCTAGATTTGGGCCATTCGGAGTCGGATAATTGAGAAAAGGGCATTCTTACGGATTGATTGAGCTTGGTTCGAGGTAAGTATCTTGCCTAACTTCGTGTGGGGGAACTACCCCTTAGGATTTGAGTCTTCTATGTTGATTGCAGTCCATGTACGCGAGGTGACGAGTGCGTACTCGGACTTATTTGTGGAAAGTTAGCCTTTTAGGGTGCCTAGGTCCTTATATTCACTCAGTATGAAGTTGTTCTTGATATGATTAAGTTCCTATTTACTAGTTTCACCTCTACATGCTTTAATTTGAATTAATTGCTTCAGGATTCACTCTTATTTGACTTAACTGAAGATTTTACCTTTTCTATTGTCATGCTATCTTTTTATATCTGCTTATCTTTATTTGGAATCATTATTATCTCATCCTATAATTGTTCAGTCTTAATTGAGGTTATGATTATCTTTACGTTGCTTATCCTGAATTGAATTGTTGAATACCCTTCGTAATTTCTCAACCTTAAATGAAGTTTAGATATCCTATATTATTTGACTCGTGTTAGCTTCCCTGTTGTTGAAATACATATTGTGAGATCGTTGCTACACATTAGTTTTTCCTTGTTGAGCTGTTCTCTTTACGCCTAATATTCTTTACTGTGGTTATTCCTTGTGAATTGGTTCTACCGTTTCTTGTGATTTAAAAGTTCTTGAGTTGATTTACTTGTCGTACTTTGTATTATTATCATTGTTGTTGTCGTACTTGTTGTGGTGATGCACGAGGTTTCTGCCGTGCGGTTGTTGTTATGGGGTTGCACGAGG